CCCCCCCCCCCCCCCAATTTTTTAAATCTAAAATTTACTGTTATTTAGATTCATCTCACTGATGCTTAATTTCTGGCACTATTGATTTTTCTAACTGCGATTGTTTCCTGATTTCTTTTTTAATTTTCTTAGAAGTAGATTTTTGTATGAGAAGACAAAATGAAGTAGTTCTCTGTCATCTGTTGATTTTTACAATTCTGTTGATGAAGAACCATGACATCTTGAGGGGTACCTCTCGATTGTGACCTCTTGCCCATACCCAAGTGGGTGGTTGGAGGGCACCACTTGTAGATCCTACTTCTTTTCTTTCCCTCTGTTGTTTCTGTCTGTCTGTCTTACTTTTTCCCAGCACTAAATGACCATTATTGTGTCGATGTGCTTCTCTTAACTCAAACAAACAAACCATACCCAATGCTGACTTTGTTTTAGCATACTTAAGGAGGGCGACTGATGTATGTTTGTATATGATTTATGATGAGTCTATGTTGATCACAGTTTATGATTACATTTTTTGTTTTTAACTCTACATGTGTGTTTATTTATTGTGTTGCTTTTGTCTGGTCACGTGTGGTAGTGCAAGCCTGAGGGAGCAAGAGTGATCTGATCAGTGCCCTTTGTGTGGCGTCATGGTCACACTCAGAAGACATGAGTTTAGTTTTAGTTGTAGTAAGAATTGTACAGCTCTTGCAGACACAGTTAGGTGCCATAATTGCAAAAGATTAGTAGTGTTACTCGAGCTTAACATACAAAGACAGGGAGGAAAAGAGACAAGGACAATACATGTTTGACAGGTTGAAGTTTACGCACTTTCAAACACAAGTAGGTGAGATAATTGCTTAAAGTTAAAGGTGTTACTCGAGTGTAACATACAAGGAAAGGGAGGAAAAGATATAACTTAATATAAATATAAGAACGATAGATATTTGATAAGAAAGAAGGAGCAAAACAACACGAGAGTACCCACCAAACGCCCACAGTCATGAGTCATGCGTTTTGAATTCCTTTTGTGGAAGTTTATATAATTATTATTGAGGAAAATCTGTCTTTCTACTGGGCTGTTGCATCACACTCGGCCTGGATTAGTCTGAACAGACTGGGCCAAAATGGCCCACCTTCTAAGTAATCTAAATATATATTCAAGTGTCAATGTAGGCATCTGACATCTACAATCACACAAGTTGTATCTTGGTGATGTTTGAGTAGTTAAATATATGTGTAAAAATCTCTTTTTGTTTTGGAAACGGATATGGATGAAGATCTCTCACCTCTTTTTCGAAAGAGTATGAATGGTGTTGAAAAGGGAGTGATAATGCAGTAAGCTTAAAGTTTAAGTCCAAATCTTTTGTTTTCATTAAATCAATTCTCAACTTAAGATCAATTACAACCAGTCAACCACAAAAATGCACTGTCAAGTTGTGATCAGATAGTTTAATTTGGTCATTTACATTAATACCTAATACAATAATTCCATTAAGCATGGAACCTTAATAACATATACTTTGAGGATAAAGTCCTTAGGTTGGAAAGAGTAAGCGAATTCGGAATGAGTAAACCATTTTCTGAAGGATGCCCACCAACTGACTTGACACGCACATCATGAATGAAGGTTGTGAGGAACGGTGGAGAGTTGGGTGCAGGAATCTGTTCATTGTGTCCTCGCTGAAGTTGTAAAGTTACAGTTTAGGATGAATCATCTCGATAAAGGACATTTCATAAGATCAACAGATGATAAATGTTTTAAGGCCCCCAACAAGACAATTTACATCAATAAGAACAATAAGAAGAAAATCACAAAAAGGTTGAACTTAGATCCTCAACACAAGAAAATAGGCGCAGCTTTAATAGAGTTTACATCAATAAGGAGGCTGGCTGCTTCTATCCTGCCTACCAAGGCTGAGAAAGATACAACATCCCAAAACAAAGACTGAGATACTCAATGAAATGAAAGGAAAAAGACTCACAAAGCAAGCAGCAGCAAAGAGCCTTAACCATAACATCACCACAAACGTTGACATTGCACCAGGATTAGATTAGGATAATTACATACTCACTCTCCCCTATACTGTCGGGTACATAAGGCAGAAAGCAGTCGATGCCATGCTTGATCACGATAATGGCAAGGGTAATATTAAAAAGCGGTATAAATTATAAAGGAGCCTACCGCACAAGAGTGCCTATCAACCACATGACCAAAGGCGCCCACTACAACTTTAAGCACACTTTAAATAATTTTGATTACCTTTATTTTATTAGAAGAGTAACAAATCTGACTCAACCTAAAAGTTAAATATTTTTAAACTTAGTTTTTTGTTGTTTTAGTAGAGGTTTTACGGCGCTCGCAACTGCATAAGGCCATATGAGCGCCAGAATATTAGAGGTGTATGTTACAAGAGAGTAACAAACATAAAAAAGAAGGAGGGGAGATAAGGACGATAGATTTTTAAACTTTAAAAAAAAATTAATTAAAATGATCTATATTTGGATGTGTGGTAGGCTAATCTACAACATAAATTGACGCACATTATGATCATTATGATGTGATCAGTTTTAATTTCTCTCTTTAATAAATGTCAGATACCCAGAATCACAAAGGGATATTAACACAATTACATATATATATGTAGTAATGATCATCTACGTAAGTATAGACTACACTTAAAACCAGACCAACTGCCAGTGGAGGCCAAGACCTTGGCGTCCACATATCACAGATTAACCCTTTCACCACCTGCTTTGCCCAAGACAGCATATCTTTGATAAGATTGAAAGGCATGTCTGGCAGTAAAGGAGTTTAAGTATGACTACAATACCCCCTCTCAGCCTCTCTAGATGTGTATGTAATACATAGATGTCTATAAACTGAGAATGAGAGAGGGTATAAGAACTTGACACTCATAGAAGCGACCGAGTGAATGCGAAAGTGGGTGAACGGACACGCAGAAGCTGTTCTCTCTTCCCTGCTACCCCACACAACCATACCTGGGCAAAACCACAGCGTGTTCAATAATACAGGTGGAATGATTATACTTGAATAACGCAATGAAAATCCACTGCTCACTGTAAGACTTCGGCATAAGTCACTTTTCAAAATGGTGTACGGTGCAGTCTTACACTAAGCAGTCAAAATAATGACAGGTTTGAAAAAGAGGAAGGACAGCTTGAATGGACGGATTTAGATGTCTCCTCTTTTAAGAAAACAGTTTTCAAATCTGGCTTCATAAGACAAAGGAAGCAGTAGCATTTTGATCAATAGAAACTTGACAGCTTGAGCTACTAGAAGCTCTTTCACCCTTTTGTTTCTGTCTTCATTTTTTCCAGCTCTCAATGACCATGACTCATAATTAGTCGAAGTGCTTTTCTTTACTCAAACAAACAGATGAAGACAGGTCATGCTGCTCGTGTTGTTTTACAATTTAACCCCAATCAACATAATTAACTTCAATTAAGGTCATTTCTTGAGACAGGCAGCTTTCACCTGCCTGTCAGGGCCAACCTGAACTGAAGGGATACATTGTGTACAACACCCTTGCAGACATACAGAAAACTCGATAAAAAAGATCTCCAATTGGAAATTGAACTTGCATCTTCTGCCTGCAGAGGCAAACAGCCTAAATGTCACACCACAGAGCCAGGTCCAGTATTTCTCAAAGAGGTATAAAATGTCACATCCCTTATAATCACAATTTCACATCTACTTTAATTAAATAAGGAAAGCAGAAAGAAAATTGTTCTGGGCACGGAGGATGGAGAAATTTACATGGTGAAGGATATCTGTGAAAAGGAACAAATAAAGTGGAGTTTGCTTTAACTGGACACACTTATTCCTTTGAGCCCTTGCCCTTTGACCGGTGCCCATATGCCTAGCTACAGTACAACGGTGAGACCCTATCCCCAAACCGGCTCGCCTGGGACAAAACATGCACCGAAAACAGTGTTTACCATACAGGACATAATTGATTTTTTAAAAGATCTTTCAGAATTAGATGCTGACTGGTAATGACAAGGACTATCCTGAGTGGGATATGGAATGTGATTCTGACGATGATATGAATGAAGGCATGAATCGCTCAGGAGCAAAGGTAGAGGGGTACGGCAGCTTTAGCAGGTCAAGGCTCAAAGAGTTAATTGGAAAACAGCAATATACGGAAAGAAAATTAAATCCTCGTTTTTTTATCTTCTACTTGAGCAACCTCTATAAACCGAAAACCCAGCAAAACTGAACAAAATCAGGTGGTCCCAGAAATTCAGACATTTTTGTTTAAGTGGATTCCGCTGTATATCACTTCTATCGCAAGAAAAATGTGCAACTCCTTTTGACCCTGCTCATACAGGGGTAGTAAAAAATCACTGGTCCCACATTTTTCTTGCAACGGTCATCAGAGGAAACAAGATAAATTAAGCTACTTCTTCTGTACAAATAATACAGTAAATAAATTCTTAACCAAGAAAAAATGTCCATAAATGACCCTGTACTGAAATAAAGCTGTGGATGAATAAGAAGTAGGCCTACATTACATTATGATTTTTAAAATATATCAAAATATAACAAAAAAAGTATTCTTCAATCAAATCTGTATAGCACTGTCACTGTCAGGAGTCATCATTCTCGCTCATCATCAGATTCTGCATTTGTTGGAACCTTCCATGGGGTTTGAGGGAACAGCTCTGTTGCTGAAAGAAAGTCAAGAAACAAACAAAATAAGCACAAAAAACCCCAAAACAACAAAAAACGTTCTTGCTTTTTCCACAACCATTTCACATTAACTTAGGTAAGTCCTTTAGAGACAGAGAAAAAACTTGAGGCACTCCTGGTACTTTTTGAAAATCCGACCAACTAGTCTCTATCAGCACAAATGCATTAAATTTTAAACTAGATCAATTTTTATCACCATCATTCTTCTTCTTCTCCTTCTTCTTCTTCTCCTTCTTCTTCTTCTTCTTCTTCTTCTTCTTCTTCTTCTTCTTCTTCTTCTTCTCCTAAGTGTTATTATCATCATCATAATAATAATAATAATTATTATAATAATTATTATTATTATTATTATTGTTATAATATTATTTCTATCATCATTATACTATTGTTATCATTATTATTATCATTACAAAATTCCAGAGAAGCACCGAGTACTAACTGGGTGGATCTCTTGCCGATCGTGCAGTGACAGGCCGAGACTTTGGCGCCCCTGATAGTTTGGGGGGAGGGCTGACCGGGCCGGGGCGAGTGATCTTGGCGAGAACACCGTTATGTTTCATTGCGTTCTTGTGCAGGAATCCCGAGGATGAAGACTGGGTGGTTTGCCGCGCCCAGCGAGGTCGCTCTGAGAGGTGAGGTTCCCCGGCCGAGCTGATGCGCTGTGGGGAGGAGTGAAGACAAGGGTGGTGTAGTCTTATGAAATGAGACAAGATCAAAATAGGATAGTGTTAGATAATATAACAGTAGACAAGATGAGATATAAGTTGAGATAAGATAGGAGTCCTATTAGGATAAGATATGGTGAGGTGCCTCAATAAGATATGATGAGATGAGATGAGATAGGACAAGATGAAATAAGATATGATACAATAAGACAAGATAACAAAAGATAAGACATACTTTACACACTTTATTGCTCCTCCATTAGAAGAAATAAACTGTGCTCTGTTACCAGTCTCTATAAAACATCAGCACATCACTATCTCTCTCTCTTTCTCTCTCTCTCTCTTTCTCTCTCTCTCTTTCTCCCCCCTCTCTCTCTCTGTTCCTCTTTCTCTCCCTGCATTGCTTTTCCTACCCACTCCTCATTTCAGCTGTTCTCTCACTCCCTCCCTCCCTTACCACTACACATTAACTTTAAGGAAGGATAAACGCAATCAATTATGTAAAATGAAAAACAGTCGAACCTGCTCTAAAGGTCACCTGTCCAAGACAATCACCTGTGCACATGACCACTTCCCTTTTTTAACAATTCTATATGTTGCACACATTCATGAATCAAGTAAATCGAGATAATGAGACATGCGATCTCAGAGAAATATTGAAGAAAATCCAGGTAAGTAACTGTGACAGTATTATGGTCAGACGATAAATGCCGTCATAAAAGGTAGCTGGTATCGATAAAAGGATAAAAGATGGATTGAGAGTACTTCTTGCTCGGTATCGAAGCAAGATAAAAGAAGACTGCGATGCTGATGAGCATTAGATTTACTTCTGATCTTTAAAAAATAAAATTGCATTTATGTCAGATCACAATCATGACGATGTTACCAACACTGGCCAGAGTATGCCAACCACCCCTCTTGTGTAATCACTTCTTGATCCATACTTTCACATTCAAACAAGCACATATACACATACAGACACATGCACACACACAAACATAATTCAAACACCATACAGTCCAAGGCAGTGCCACACTGTCTGTCTTTGATTACCCCCCCCCCCCCCACCCCACCTAAAGCACTCACCATCACACCACAAGATTCCAGAGAGTTGTAGTGTAGTGCCTAACAACTTAATATACCATACTACATCGATGTGTCTTGATACCAGCTGTATGTCTTGTGTCAAAGCAAGAGAAAGGGAAAGAGTGGGGCTTGTGAACCTTACAACTAATGAGAAAAATATTTTAAAAAACAACAAAACATTGACCTTACTGCAGATCAGGATCATGACAATGCAACCAACACGTGTCAAAGCACGTCACCTAACCCTCTTGCGTAATAAGTTCCTGATCCACAGGGCCTACCTTCACATTCCAACAACCACAAACACACATTCACAGACAAGCATACAAAGGCAAACATGATTCAAACACCATACAGCCCTATGTAGTGTACATCATACATCATAAGTATAATTAATTAGATTATCATATATATCTCATCATCAGATAAATCTGAAAGACGAAAACAAACTTACTGTTAAGGAATGAGATCTCGATAAGGAGTTGAGGACGTTGCTGCCAGAATTTACTTTGCTGCGGGCATTGCGTACAACGTCGTCTGTGGCTGAACCGTACATCTTTTTCTGTCGACTGAGCAAAAATATTCAGATATTGTAAATGAGGAGCAAATATAATGTAGATAGTCAAAAGAATAAGCAATGTGAAGCACCAAGAGAGGAACATTTAAAACATTCCCCCCCATACACACAAATTTAAAAAAGAAAAAAAGAAAGCAGCACTAGGATTCAACGTGACCAAAGCCCGCCTGTAATCAATGGCACTCTAGTGTTCAACAAGGCTTCTCCCATGCACATACCCGGTACCTCATTTACTCATTTCTCCCACGAGATCTCCTGAATGGCAGCTTTGCTATGAAAAGAATAGACTGCTGACATTACGTAGTATCCTTGTTTTCATTTCCAGTGTGGTAAAAGTCAGAATTCACATCAGCAATTAGAATTACTATTATTTCCATGAGTCCTAAAAGAATGAGAACAGTAAACAACTGCTACGTGCATAGGGAATTTAACAGATCAGTGGCCACTGTTGATGAAGAATGTAAATAGTGGAGGGTTGATGAGAAGACAGAACTCGGACATCAATCTGACACCACGACTCACCATTTGGTCACCTCATCAAGCACCTCGTCATTGTTCAGATAGTTGAACCGCCATGTGTCTTTGGGTACTGGGTCCGAACCTCGCCACGGTGTAGGTCCGGATTTCTTCTTGCCAGTTTTTTCAGAACGCTTGCTGTCCAGCTTTAGCTTACTCATCTCCGAGGCTGGGGGATTCTGACAAACATCAAGGCCATTTCAGCGATGTTAAAAATAATTTTTAATAAGGAACATAAGCTTAAGTAGAGAAATAAAAATTAACAAGTTTTCACTTAAATATTAAGACATCTAGTTGAAAGGATTATTATGTAAGTATGACCCAACCCAAACTGGGAAAGGAAAATAACTCAAACTATTCATTGTCAATCAGGAAACAAAGGTACTCACTTTGGGTAACAATGCTTGGATAATTTTGAACTGTTCGATAAAGTTCCTCTTCCAGACTCCATTTTCGTATGGGCTTGGGGTGAAGGACAAGTGCCAGCCGAAGTGCAGACATTTTGGCATCCACAGCTGGTCAAGCTCTGCCAGATAGCGCCAGTACCAGCACACCTATAGTACATACACAATGGATACCGTTCAAGAAACATAACTTTAAAAGTGTTTGTGAGATTTACAACAAAAAGAAAGGTGGATGGTGGATGGGATCTGTTCCAACACATTACATTTTGATCAATTACTCGACTTTTCGATCTGATATTGATTTCATGTCTCAGCAGATGAGATGCACGCCCAGATCTTAATCACCACAGATTACAAGAGAGAGAGATTACAAACATGTATACAAGTCACAAAAAAAAAGAAAGAGTGGGAAACAAAAAAATAAAGAGGGGGACATTAGAGAGATGAAGAGAGAAAATGAGAGACAGAGAGATAGAGAAGGGGGACGGGGGTTAGAGAGACGGAGAGAGATAATAAGAGAGAGATAATGAGAGAGAGAGAGAGAGAGAAAGAGAGAGAGAAAGAGTGAGAGAGGAGGGTGGAAGAGAAGAGAGAGTGAGAGAGAGCGAGAGAGGAGAGAGAGCAAGAGAGGAGAGAGAGAGAGAGCGAGAGAGAGAGAGAGAGAGAGAGAGAGAAAGAGAGAAAGAGAAAGAGTGAGAGAGGAGGGAAGAGAGAGGAGGGGGGAAGAGAAGAGAGAGAGAGAGAGAGAGCGAGAGAGGAGAGAGAGAGAGCGAGAGAGGAGAGAGAGAGAGCAGACATAGACACAGAGAGAAACAGCAAGAGCAAGAATGGGATGAAGAGCAGGAAAGCAAGTAGCAAGTAAATGACTCTGGAGAGGATAAATAAGTAAGGAAGTGTAAACAAATGGAATATACTTGTCTTTGACATCAGCAGCCTTTACATTTCACAAAACAGGAGGCAAAACATATCACTTCCCATTGCTGTTTGCTCATCTGCAAATTTAGCGATTATACACATTATTAGAACGCCTATCAATGTCAGACAATGACCAAAGCATCGGCAGAGGACAATATTTCTTAAGCAAAATAGAAGATTTAAAGATTAAAGTGACTTGTGGTTTCCGTTATGGCCGACGAAACTTAACTAAGAAAACAGACTCACATCACTTGCCCTTTTGAGAACTTTGTTTTTGGTATTTTATTTTGCCATTTGATGCTAAGAATCAGGTTTATTATGTTATATATATATATATATAATATATATATATATATATATATATATATATATATATATATATATATATATATATATATATATATATATATGGGTGTGTGTGTGTGTGTGTGTGTGTGTGTGTGTGTGTGTGTGTGTGTGTGTGTGTGTGTGTGTGTGTGTGTGTGTGTGTGTGTGTGTGTGTGTGAGGCATCACAGCAAAAACAGGTGGTCGTCACAGTAATGAAATTAAAGGAACTGGTATTTTTCAGGCCATTGGGCAATTTTTTTTTGAATTTTCATTTTTTTTTGGGGGGGGGGGGGGGGCCACAACACCTTTTATGTTTACCAAAGAACACATTTCTGAGAGGATTTTACTCAAGGCACATAATATGTAAATTTGCAGTTTCCAAGTATACTCAAGCTTTGAAAGTCACAAAATGATGATTGACATTTTCTTGCAAATTTTGCCTTTGACACCTGGCCACCCTACCTTCTTCAATCATAAATTTCTCGAGAGCCTCTATTCAAGACAGACACACACACACATACACACACACATATATATATGTTCATCAGCTGTTAGACTCTAACAAGCTAAAAGCAATTATATATTACATGTTCATGTATGCAGGACAACTGATAATTAAAAATGTAATACAGACCTGTGCACACTGACACAAACTGCGGGCATCCAGGTGAGAAAAGATGTAGAGAGTAATCACACGAGGCAAGTAACGTGTGAAATCGTCTTTGTGGCAAGGAACACGGCTGTCAATTAGCTCCCGTGCATATTCCAGTTGCTTCCTCTTACTTTTTCCGACAAGTTCTTCAAAAAGCTTCCTGCGCTGATCATCATTCCATTTTTGAAACTGATGAGAAGACATAAAACTTTATGTGTTTGGGTGTACAAGTCTCCCATTTAACAAGGCAATGCAGCTCATTCGGTAGGCTTTAGTCTTTACCGTTCTTCCTCAAACAGAATTTTGGCTCACCAAAGGATAAATACGGCAAATCTTTAGATTTAACCAAGCCTCTTTAGGAAAAAAAAACGAAAAAATTATACATTTAATCATCTTTTTTTATTATACTAATCCCCATGAGCTGTTCTCCTTCCTTCAAAGTTTTATATATTATAAATTATTATTTGCTATTAATGAAATGTACACACAGCTTAGCAAAACACAACAAACAAGATTTTAAAATTGCTACCCAACTAACTTATTTCACATAAAAATATTTTTCAACAGAGTCCATAAACTTAGAAACTAAAGACTCAACTAATACTGATCTATCTATTGCAGATTGAAAGTGTGATTGATTTCTATTTGCATGACTTACAGACAGCACTAAAACAAAATGAGACTCACCCATTTGCCAACTAGGTCCTTTCGTTCTTCAAATATCTGTAATAAAAAAAGAGGGAAAATAAATTTTAAAAAACCCACATCAGATTGCTTTGATTACAGGCTCAAAAGAAAAAAAAAGAAAAGAATGATATATATATATATATATATATTAAGACATTCTAAGAAAACACATAAGGAGTTGTCACTAGGCCAGATCCTGAGCTAGAGAATAATTCTTTATGTCCTGAAACGTTGGCTGAACTGATACAGATATACAATTTATCTGTTTGAATAAAGAGCAGCAAATAAGCAGCATAAAATCAGAGAAAAAGTACGATACAAAGATGAAACAACACGAGGGAAAAAAAAGTAGGCACCCTCCAAGCATTCATACGGCAACAGATATATACAGTTGAACCTGCCATGATGGCCACCTGTACAATACGGCCACCTGTACAAACGACCATTTTCCATTTCCCCCCTTGCATTTTTTCTATATAATTTAACTGTGTAAAACAGTCACCTGTCCAACCCGGCCGTGGCCACCTTATTTTATCAACCCATGGTTAAATTTACCTGCTTCAGGCGGCGAGGCGTGGTCACTCATTGCCCGACGCTTTGTCATGAACCATTCACCTATCGTTATTGTTAGTCCCTCGAATGAATATTTACCCAAGTTGACCAATGGGTAGGCCCAGCAATAAATTTCCAACTACTGGTGAGGGAAGCGTGAACTGTCATAATCTATATACGCCCCGCCTGCAACTCATGCACACATCGTGTGTGAGGTGACTGGTCACGGTTTTGTTTACCTAATCTGTAACAAAATAACAATGGACATTGATGTGAAGTTGCGATAGAAGCGTCCTTCGTTCTCAGAGTGGGGCGACCTGGGAGTTTGTTTTACCGTGGCTTTCGGTCTTCATCGTATTACATACATAATATTTAATATTTTGTTTATTTTATCCTTGCACAAAATCAGCAACAAAAAGAATGCTAACCAACAACAAAACAGCAACAAAAAACCCTTCTTACACCACCCATCCCCCTTTTTCAAAAGAAAACTAAAACCCCTTTGAATTAGCCTTTCCGCAGTCTAAAGCCTGAGATCAGCCCTGGTTTGAACCTCAGAAGAGAAGGATTTGCTTTCTTCATTTTGATCAGTCCTGCCTAAGACAACCACCTGTGTTATACTGCCACTTTTCTCATTGACAATGGGTAGCCGTTATACACTGTATATCTAAAGATATTTTTTCTGAAATATTGATCAATACTACAGGAAGAAATTAAGACAATATTAGATAAGATAAGAGATAAGATAATACTTTATTGCTACAGGGGGGAATTTTTCTTGACCATACAGGAACAGTAAAAACACATGTAGGTATACATAAAAATCAAATGATATACAGGGTGATCCAAAAAAAACTGTTCAACTTTTTTTCTAAATATCTCGCACAAAAGTTGTACTAGATCTAGAATGTTGTAATTTGGAACAGATATAATTCATTTAAAGGGAATTTGTTTGACATAAAATTTATGAAGAATAAACTTATTTTCGAAAACAGAAATGGCTTTTATAAAAATCATCTATAAATGCAAAACGCACCATTTTGAAAGATCTTGTAAGGAAAGTCATGAAATGATTGCTTTGCTTTTTTTTTCTTTTCATTTACTTAAAAATCTAATCTTTCCATCCTTGTAACTTTTTAACAATATTTCTTTTCTCCTACAGAGTTAAAACATATTTTTAAAAATTTCTGAAATTCCGAGAACCAATGGGCTATATCCTCCCTTGGACTCGACACATTTTAACGCGACGTTCGTAATGTTCAGTGGTGGCCAAACACAAGGATCCACTCAACCATGAGTACTCAAAGCCACACACAATATACACCTAACAGTACGGAGCTGTTTCCAGAGACAATAGGGAGGGGGTGAGGTTGCCCAAGTAGACAGCATTTGTGGAGTCGATATAGCCTGAAAGGTGAATATGGGTTTTGCTAAGGAACCAAATGTCATAGAGGAATTATTCACGCTTTTCAAACGATCGAGGAATCATAAACACATTGCTGTCCTCTGATAGCTTCGCGAACAGGAAAATGATACAGTAGTAGATGAAAATCTGCCCTGAGAATGCGGACCGTTGAGAATTAGGAAAGTCATTGCTGCAGACATCGTCTACGGACAGACGTCTCACGAGGCTCATCTACTGAATTCTGCATCCTGGTGACGTTTAAAGGGGTGCAAACGGTGTGTGTTTGACCTGAAGTGGTTGTTTTGCCTAGGAATTTTAGTTCTGATTCTCTACAGGTCCAAACTGATGGAACATTTTCACCCTTGACATCAAAGAAGTCCTTAAGGGCACTTTTACATTATTTCTTACCTTGTGCGAAACTTACGAAAAGAGTTGGTAGTGAGGAAATGTTCAATACAAAGAGCTCTCTACTCTTTACTGAGTTTAACCATGATCTCAGCAGGCACAAGAAACTTGAGAGAAACTATCTGCAAACTTTGGTTGGCCTGTTAGACTGCTGTAGTTTGCAATATGGTGCAATCGTTGGGATTTTTAGAGGTAAGCCTAATGGAAACTAGTGCGTCATGCTGCAAAAATGGGAACATAGCTGAAAATGGGTTGTTTTTTAACGTGCTATGTAGGGAAAAACTATTCGGTGGATTTATTTAAAAAGAAAATAAGACAAATTCCTTTCGACTTCCAAATGTTGTGTATAAATAAAAAAAAGCAAAACTTCTGTGTGGAGGAAAATATCAACAAAAAAAGTTGTACAGTTTTTTTTGGATCACCCTGTATTACTCTCATTAAAATTCAAAATGAAAAGAGAAAAGTGAAGCAAAGGGTATGCTCATCACATCAGATGCATCTTTCAACCAATTGTAGGACCTGAGTTTATCAAAGACCTTTAGAGTTATATATATATATATATATATATAGATACATTATGCATTCATACATAAACAGTCGAACCTGCCTTAATGCAAACCTGTATAAAACGGAAACCTGTCTTAACAGAATCTCCCCACTCCCCCTTTGATATATTCCTCTTCAATTACCTGTATAAAACGGAAACCTGCCCAACGTGGAAACGGAAAGAAAAATCCGCTCCCTTCCAGGGTTTCACCTAAGACGGAAAATGCTTTGCCCGCTCAGCCCTGATTTGAAACAAAACTCGCATGTTTGGTTCCGCCGGCTATAAGTTTATCACCATGGTGATGCCGCTGGGTGAGGAAGGGGAGAAGGAGTGCAATTTGGGGGTATTTGTTACCCCATCATGTGAGCCCTGAGGGATGCAGATGGTCAGGGAAGTGTGGGTGTGAAATCTCACGACTGCCTGTGAGAGTGCTCGAGTAGCGAGCCACTGCGGAAAAAATCCTGGGTAGCCAGAAGCCAGAGGAGTGAAATTATATTGACCAATGCCTGCTGCTCTGATCATAGGGCAAGCCGAGAAAAGAGTTCCTTGAATCGTTGTTACATGATGGCAGAGAATGAAGTTTGTATCGTGCACAAAAACAAGGACATCACAAAAAAACCCAGCAGATCTTGCTCTCCCCCCCTTCTCTATCTCACTGCGAAAGAGTTATAATTTGCCCCTTTATTTGTGGACACTAAAAATGAGTGCTTGTCTATTTGCAATTTATAAAAAATATTTTGTGAGCAGAACTCAACACTTCTGTTAGCCCAGGCGGTAACAAAATGGACATTAGCACGATAACTGACAGATTAGTGTCACTTGTTCGCAAGTGGTGGAGACCCATGATTTGTTTTGTTTTAATATGATCCTCGGCCCTCTTGGTATAGCACACATTCTGTTAAACTGTTCTACTATTGCACGGCACACTGTCTTCCCCATCTGAAACATAGTGGGTTGTAGTTATTGACAATTTCGACTGTATTTTGGATTAAACGTTAAAACATTCCCGTTCATGCTCGGGTTTTTACAGCCTTTTCCTGTTCATTAAAATTCCTCTCACACATTATTTTCACTTTATTTCAGTTGCAAATGATTAGTTTTTGAAATATTTGATGCTTTTAATAACTCAGTTATCTCTGAGGGGGTAAACCCACTATGCCGGGGCCCGTTTTTAGTACTAAATCTAAAAATGACAAAAATCGTCACTAAATGGGTCATTTTTATAAATCAAAACAAGTGAACCTATTTTGATAGTTCTTCGTCGAATGAATGAAATCCTGATAAAAGATACACCTGTTTTCAGCAACTGCTGAAAAGTAATTTGATGTTGAAGTCATCATAAACGAATGTGCCTGAGCCGCTGTCAGCGGCTCACAGGCACAGTGGTTCTGACCGAGAGCCGCTGGGAGTGGCTTGCCAGAGATATAAAATAAAGTGTTGAAATAGCATCATGAGTGGCCTTATCATGCATGCATACAATTTCACTTGTTTTAAAAAAATTGGTTGGTTACATGAGGGCACCCCACCCCCCCTCCCCCCATTGCAACCCCTTCCCTCCAAAGTGAAAAAAAATATGAGGGGTTGCAGGGGAGCATGCCCCATTGTATTTACCCCTACAGCCCGGCTTAATTTGATGTTCTCTGTTCTGCAAAATATTAATCAAGGTTTGTTTCTTGGAAACAATTGATTTGCCACGGGTGCAAGTAAACACAAGCGGGGATAGCTAGAGAGCGACAACTAAACGTCATTGGCCGATATTTATAGTAACAGTCATCTTGTTTGACCTCGAAATGGGGATGCTCGCTGCGTCATCTGATCGTGATTCTATAGATCTAAGCCTAGTGATGATTTTGCATAGTGTGCGGTTTACACTGGTAGTTTCCAAGCTTCCCTCTTTGAGTCTTTCTTTGGTTCCCCCTAGAGTCTAGCATACTGTTTTTGCACCTCACAGTATTCGTTTGCAAACCTTGCAGTCTCGAATTAGATCTACTCCATTTGCAGCTCAGCGTCCTTACCTATAGAGTCCAATATCTCTTGTAATAAAAATTTCTTGTGCTTAAAAATTTTTTAAAGAAACAATCCGGTGATTATTTGCACTGCGTCATTGAACTTTCTTGAACTTGCTTTCGTACGTAGGCCTACTCTTAGTCTTTTTCTTCTTCTCAGTTTACGTAGTGTGCAGCATCAGAATCAATCAGGGCGGAAGAAGGGTGCTGCACAATCACAGACAATCGAACTGAACAGTTCTGCAAGTTGCAAAGAAAATAATCCGTGTCAGCAGGCTGCCGTCCTGCGGTTGTGTTGTCACCATGACTAACAAAGGGGAAATCCCTCCATGATGCAAACAAGATGACTGTTACTATAACTATCGGCCAATAGCGTTTTAAAGTCTATCGTTCTCTAGCTATCGGATTGTCAAGGGGGGAGGGGGGCTCTTCCGAAAGTGCCTTCTCGTTTGTTTAATAAGAAACAAGTGATTGCAAACGACAAAAGTAGCCATATAGGCTAAGTGAACCCTACCAAATTAGCCAGTAATATTTTTCTGCCTTTTTTGTATTAACAATTTATTTTGGCCGGACAGAACTTTGGTGGACCCACCGTGTTCACGAGCGTATTTAAAATGCGCACTAGCCATAACAAAAAATATTGTTTAAAAAAACACACACAATCTTCACCTTTACATTGCAAATTATCGATTGGAAGGGGAAGGCAATTTTCAAAGAGCACCCAATTATAGTCTACCCATATTTCATTAGAGTAGATCTTATGAAATCTACTCACTCTCAATAGATCTAGAATCTACAATCTAAGATTCGGCTGGATCCAAGCAGATCGGGTCAGCGAGGCCGAAGGCCCCATCGCGGCCGATGAATGCGCGGGGATTTCGGGATTATATTACGGCTATAAATGGAAGGGATGGCTCCCTATATAGAACGTATTGGTCAAAAAAGAAAAAAACAGGCGTTTTGGGGTTTCTAGACTTCAAAATTGAATTGAGCGACCCCACAAAATGCTAAAGTGTAACTTTAGCTGTTCGGGAAATTGAAATGAGAACTTGAAATGCTCGTTAAGGATTGCAAAAAAATATTTATGGATTGGGTCGGAACTACTTTTTACTCCCTAAATTTAGCTGACTTGGGAACTCTCTCCGGAACTACTTCTGGTCAAATCTGTTATTCTGTAACTGTAATAGTACCGTTAGTTAAATTAGGTCAATATTTTATGATTGTGTGAGAGAGTAATTATCTGCAGTTTAACTAGCTACAATTAATAAAGAAAGGTTTTTTTTTGCATGTAATGGGTTTAGAATGTTATATGCTATCAAATTGTGAAGAAAATATTTGAAGTTACATTCTTATATATGGGGAAAAACGATCATAAGAGGAGTAAATAGAAATCAATGCATGGCTTATTAAGGCTTTGTTTATGGTACCTTATTAATGATGAGAGTTATATGACGCTAAGAGGTGCAATATTTAGGACAATGACGCTAATCAACGCATGTAAATAGGGCAAGGGTATATAAAGCGTGAGTACTCACGCCAAGCTTTAGTTTCTGCATTGGTGCCAAGCTTTAGTTTCTGTATTCGTACCATGGTGTTTACTGTGTTTGACCTTCATGTTCTGATTTCTAATAAAGCTGTTTTACGGGACTGGTTGCGTTATAATAAGTTATTACTGGATTTTTCTGATTGTGTTTGTGACTGTGGTGCAAAGTATTGTGAATTTGCAGACAGTGGTTATGCAGAAGGATTTTGTTGGAGGTGTTCTAATAGAGTCTGCCGGAAGAAGTTTTCTATTAAAGGCTTGGATCCTGGTTTGAGGATTCCAAGTTGAGTTTTGAGACAATTTTAAAACTGACATATTTTTGGTGCAACCAGTATTCCAACAAGTTGTCTGCTAGAGAAGCTCAAGTCAGTGAAAATACAGTTGTTGACTGGTTTAACTTTTGCAGGGAAGTGTGTATTGACATGTTGCAGGAGTGCGAGTATCAGAGCATAGGAGGAGAGGGTGTATTGGTGGAGATTGACGAGTCTAAATTCGGTCGGAGGAAGTACAATAGGGGTAAGCGTGTTGATGGTGTTTGGGTGTTTGGTGGGATTGAGTCGAGAGACAAAAGTAGGTGTTTTTTTAGTGTTGTGGAGAACAGGAGTGCAGACACTTTGATTCCGTTGATTCAGAAACACATCAAGCCTGGGCGCATTATTGTTTCCGATGAATGGAAAGGATATTCAACGTTGAAGAACATTGGCTATCAACATTACACTGTGAATCACAGTAGGGAGCTCAAAAACGCCGAGACAGGCGCCCATATCAACCACATTGAGACAACTTGGAACCAACTGAAAGCTGTTAAAAAACATTCAGGTTATGCAAAAACTTTAATAAGTACATATTTTAGTGAGTTCATTTTCAGGAGGAAATTCTTAAATGAATCAGAGGACCCTTTTTTTGTATTTATTAAACAGGGCATCAATGCAGTGTATTCTTTGGCGCGTGCCCGTGACAAATTGAAAAAGAAACAGGAGAGAAAGAGAAAGCAGCAGGAAGAACCAGGGAATCTGTGGGAAGACCCAAAGCGGGGTAGAAGCAGCACAGCAACTGCAACGTACACGCGGGCCGAGATAGAGGTGGCTGAGACAGAGAAGCAGAAGAACCAGGGAATCTGTGGGAAGACCCAAAGCGGGGTAGGCTGAGACTGCTGTGTCGTCGGAATCTGAATCTGAAGTATCCCGTTCACTTTCTGTGGTTTTGTCAATGGATGAATCAGATGAGGATGCTCCTGTTTTTGATTTGGGAGTAAAAATCGATGATGATAGCAGCAGCAAGGACAGCCTAACACCTTTTTGGACCAAATATAAATGGTAAGTCCTTCCATAAGGGGAGAACTTCCGTAACGACCACTATGAGACAGAGAGCAGAATTGAGGGCTACGGGTAGGGGCAGATCTAGGGGAAGGGGTAGGGGTATTGAGGGCTAGGGGTAGGGTTGGGGGTCGACCACTAGGGGTAGGGGTAGGAGTGGGGGTAGGGGTAGGGGTAGGGGTATTGCTAGGGGTATTGCTAGGGGTAGGGATAGGGGTAGGGATAGGGGTAGGGGTATTGAGGGCTAGGGGTAGGGGCAGATCTAGGGGTAGGAGTAGGGGTAGGGGTAGGGGTATTGCTAGGGGTAGGGGTAAGGGTATTGAGGGCTAGGGGTAGGGGCAGATCTAGGGGTAGGGGTAGGGGTAGGGTTTGGGTTAGGGTTAGACCACTATGAGACTGAGAAGAATGGAGGGCTAGGGGTAGGGGTAGGGGTAGTATAGGGTTAGGGTTAGGCCTCTTCTTTATATTTATTGTGTTTGATGGGGTGATTGCTCGTTACGGAAGTCCTTACAGTGGAAGGTAAGTTGTGAGATATTTCATTGAGATTTAAGATGGTTAAAAGGTCGGGGTAGTTGTCATTCGAATAACCGTCAGTAAATACAAACTATACACATTATTTGATTAAATGAGCTATTATTATAATGACTAGGGGCTAGGGAAGTATTTGAGTTGTAGTGATTGGCCAAACGCGCGTATGATCACTTGTTGGAGGATGTAAACAAAGATGGCGCATGCAGGGACATTCGAGTGGATTTTTCTGATTCTTTTGTCGACTTTCGACGCAGTGGGTGCTTTTATATCGTGTTTAGAACTCAAATTATGTTTTTTGAATGGATATTGTAGAAAGCGTTTTAATTGTTAAGTGGTTAATAGTTTTTCTTTCTCAATTTGAAGGGAAATTAACACTTTTGCTGGCGTATTAATATTTTTCCCGATTTTTCTCTATTATTTCATTGTATTGACCCGGTCTGCTTGGATTTTACCAAAGATTCAATTAATAAATTTGCATTAATCCTAACATATTTTATAGGCAAATGCTAATATCCTCCTAATAATGGAGATAATAGACTAGATTAGATCCAGATTTAGATCTAGATTCTAGAATGTAGAGTCAAAGGCAATTATCAATTTAATAATATAATAACAATTTAACTAGATCTAGTAATAAAATAGTAATACTAATATTATCTATTATCTGCATGAGGAAAGTGAAAGCATTTAGATTCTACAACTCCCACCTTATTGTTCGTTTCTTCATTACTCAACGGAGTCCAGGTACTATGAATGCGATTCTTAGCAATCATAGACATTGTGAAAGAAGTGTGGTTAGTCCTCTTAGCCTATAGATCTAGACAAGAAAGATACAGTTGGTGTCAACTAGTCTCGGCAAGTCGTTGAACAATCCGTCGCCGCCATTTTTATACAAACAGGTTGCTGAGGGGAGATTATTTTTTTTATAATTTCTTCTTTTTACTAATATTATTTATATCTAAAAGATAATTTAACCATTTGTCAATTATTTTGACCCTTTAAATGTATTTCTACAAATAATAAGGTCTATTTATTACATCGAGTTGGCGAGATTTGTAAGCGAGAAATTAACCGGGTGCAGACAAACATGGCCGCATGTTAGTCTGAAAATTTTCTTTACTGTTTGCCAATGTTTCATAGCTCTTAGACGCATTATTTGAAGACACTAGATGGACAAGTAATTGCACTAAACAGGTATGATAATCTTTCAGTGAAATTATTTGACGTCTTCTGATGTTTTTATGTATTTCTTGACGTTTGTTTTCTCACGTGTTGCTAACACTAACACTGCACTGCTGAGACTGGAAGACTGGGGGAGACAAGTTCCCAGCTCAAGACTGAGGGCTATGGCACTGGCCCCATGGGCACAAAGATACTCTAGGTCTCTAGATCTAGACACATTTTGACTTGGTATTCTGTTTGCTTTTCTTCTCATGTTTGAACGGTGAATGATAAGTTTGCTTATTGTGTGTATGACAAGAGTACCTCTGGCCCAACCCTTTTGGCTTTGCTTCTCAGCGGTCTGTCAGCAAAATAGGTCAGGCAATCCATGTTCAGGGCCGCTTCAGTGTGTTTATACTGTGATATCGTCAATCATTCCTAAACGTCATTCGCAGATTTCGCATTTTAACATGTTATTGCTCTGCCCTTGGCGCGACAGCATGCCCTCAGCGCGACCGCATACGGAACAGGGCGCAACCATGCCCATGCGCGCACTAGGGCTGGATCCTGCTCGTCAAATTTGAGAGTAGCGATTCGTGATTCAGTCGGCTTCAATGAATCGCGAGTACGCGAGCGCTCGTGGAGCTGTGGCGGAACACTGACTGAAACGGAACAGGGCCATATCAACGCCTCTTGGCGAGCGCGAGTCCCACTCTTGTTGTTCCACCATCCTCTCCGCCCCACTCCCTTTGTTGCGCTGCTCTATCAACTGACCTCAATTAGTGACCCCCATAAATTCCCCCCCAACCCCACCATTCGCTAAAACAATGTAGCAATGCCAATCGGGCTTTCCCACGAGGCGAAAATTTGGTCCCCGTTTACGGGCGATTTTGCGGACCCGGCCGAAGCGTAGGTGACTAACTTTGTCAACCTCGGTCTGCTCTATTTCCGAACCAATCCGAATGAAACTCGGCTACCAATCAGAAAATAGGGCAAACTAATGATATGTGGACGTTGAAGTTCGTACACATAAATTAACCTATACTTTTGGTGTCGGGAACACTTTCGTATCGTGTACACCGAAAACTATAAGGAGTTTGAATTTCAACGCCCAGATGGTAATAGATCTATCTATCCTCTATAGTGTGCTCAAATTTGAGAGTTCTGTGTCAAGTAGTTGTTTAGACCCGATCGTAAATCTACGACTACCCCCCTATCCAAAGCGGCTTCGCACGGAGACCGGCCATTTTCCCCTCACTCCCGTGGCAAATGTCTGTGACCTACAAATCCCCGCATGACTATTCCGGGCCTGTTCATTGGTCACTTGAAATAGGGCAATGGCGGGCGCGCGCATCCGGTTGTTTTTCTCTCTATTCCCCTGTAACATCGCAATGGGGGTATTCCGAGGCGAGGTTATCTCGTCTCGGGGTGTTCGCGTCTCAACGGGAAAAAAGAATTTTTAATTGTACGGCATGCTAGATTGAATTAACTTATCATTTACGGTTGGCATGGTCTAAAGTCATCATAAAAAGCTTTGCAATTATTTAGTCTTGCTGCCGACATATATTCTTAAAGATCCCATGTTGTGATACGATGTTATAAATAAAATGGACTCATCCCGACACCCCTTTTTCGCAAAATCGTAATATGTACACCACAATTTTAATTATAACAAAATAACTACGAAATTGGTAATAAATCTGACTGCAGAAATGATTTCTACACTCAAAAACACATCGGGTAGCCAAGTTTCTCTCGAACATTTGGATTAGTTACCGAGATATCGTCGATTTTCTTACAGAATCTGCTACTGCGTGGTCCACTTTTTAGGAGTATTTTCCTATATGTGGGTCATCCATATTTTGCCGACCTTTACAACCCCATAACTTTTTTATTTATGAACCGTTTCTCAAAATTCAAGAAGCATAATTATCAGAATTGAAAATTCTTTCTTAGGTACCAAAAAAAAGGGGGCAAAAGTGAAAATTTAAATTTTCATTGGCATTGCTAAACAATGGCTCCATAAAATTCCTTCTGTCTATTGGTTGGACCCCATTCATTTTGTTTTAATAGGGGGGTTGGACTATACCATCTTTTGTAAAATAAGGGGAGCCATACCAAGTGTTCCGTTCCGTTCTTGCGCTCGTGACTCGACTCAGCAGTAAGTTAAACAAGCCACAAGGTGGTGACAGCGACAGGGGAGTGAATCGGGAATCGTTTGGCGATACTGTTCCGCTGAAGTGAATCGTGAATCGCGTTCCACAGGAAAGAGTGGCGATTCAGTTCCGTTCTCGCGCTCTTGACCCAGCCCTAGAGCACACAGTTAAGACAGGTGCAAGAAAGTTGTTAGTCACATGCGATTAAACGTAGAAAGACGCTAACTATTTTTAGGTAAAAGGCGCCCATCTTGTTTAGCAATGCCAATCGCCCGCTGCGCCTTGGGCCGGAAATCGGCCTCCGCGCGAGGGGTAATTTTTGGGCCGCTCGGAATCAGAAGAGACTCTTTTCTAAGATCTATAGTTACGGGAAAACTCGTGGACGAAAATAAATGAAAATCGGCAACCAATCAGTTTTATGGTTAAACTAACGACATGCCAGCGTACAATCCCGAACGATTTCTAGAACCGGAGAAATTGCAGTGTTTGTGCGAATTTCCTCTGCGGTTCGAAAACTAAGCGGAGCTGCTGGTTGATCGCCGACCACACAGGCGCCCCACATGTCTTCTTTATTGCTGTAAAATTTCAGATCTCTACGTTTAGTAGATTTTATGTACCAACTTAAAATACCACCCATCCATTGATAAAACACTAGAGCTGGAAACTAGACCACGCATTCCGAACGCGAGGTGCCGGCATGCAAGAGGCGTGTGATCGCTAGGCGGCATGTGATTGGCTGCTAATAACTAAACTAAATGGTCACCGATGACTTCATCGCTGGTTTTCCCGATACCGCTTTACTGAGTTTTAGAAGAGGTGATCGCGTCGCGGTAAAAACGATGTCACGCAATTGAACAAATTTCACCCAAATATCAGTCTTTAACATCCAAAGTAATAAAGGCATTGAAAAAATTATAACAGAACTAGATTCTGCCCTAAAAATCACATGAAGGTGCCAAGTTTCATTCATACACTCAGACCTGCCACTCATCCCGATTTAATCGGGATATCCTGATTTTTTTGCCCCATATCTCAACCATCCCGATTTTCCCGATTTCGATCGCCAGTATCCTGATTTTTTGTGGTTGCGTCTGTTGCGTCCGGTTCTTAGAAAAAAATATATAAAGTTCTGCAATCTCTTTTGCTTGGAAACACCGATTGGACTTTTTATCTGCAGGAACTTGGAACGCTATTTTCTAAAGCATCTATGCCGAGAATCTAGATCTAGTAGATGACTAACACACGTTATTTAAACTAAAATCGACCTAGTTTCAAACGCTCATTCGCATCACATGACATAACCTCGTACGTGTGGTGAGTAGCGCGTGTGTCGGGGACCGTCAGTTGTCGGGGTCAACAAAGTTCATTCACACCGGTCGCGTTGGTCGAGGTGTTTTCCGGGACTTAACCAGTGTGGACGACCGGGGGGAGGGGGTGGGGGTATTGTTATTGTTTTGACACTTGGGCTTAAAGTGCGTGCCGTGATACATGTACTAACTGAGGGGAAAGGAATAAGAGAAAAAAAATGAACAACCTTGGCGCGATTTTTTTCGATGTGATGGAAGTCAAACGTTAAAACGCGGGCGTTTTGCGTGTCATGTCAGCTCTTTTCAAGACTACGAGTGTTTCAGCATCACTGCGACCTTCGCTCCCCCAGTCTATCCAACTTCGACTCGAGTACATATATGCTGTCTTTCAGTTTTCCCTCTATTTAGAGGCCCAAACGTGAACTTATTCCTGCAAAAGTTTTGCTTTGCATACTTGCCTCAAGGGAACCAGGACCCCCCCCCGCCTTCCCCATGCCCTTTATGACTGATTTGCCGTTGATCCCGATTTTTTTCACCAGATCCTGATTTTTTAACTCAGAAATCCTGATTTTTAGATTTCATAGAGTGGCAGGTCGGTACACTCCAATTCATTACTGACTTATGAACAGTTTTTCCTCAAAATACATCAAGACATGTTCCCACATTTTGGCGATATTTGCCTATACGAAGGTCCCCAAAAATTATGCAAACAAAACTGTTAGAACCCCCAATAACTTTTTTATTTATTGATGGATTTTTAAAATTTAAAGACCATAGTTCTTAGAATTTACTTTATATTTTCATTTAAGCCCATTTTTAAGCAATTTTGATGAAAATTTAATTTTTCAATGTCATTGCTATCTTGTTTGACGTCAGACCAGGATACCCCTCCGATCAAGTGACTACATCTTAGTATAGCCAACCGGATGGCACCAAAGATGGAAGTGTGTATAATCATGCTTATATGTACACCTCTCTTTCGGAAGTTCTGATGGCTGAATAAACAGCGGTTCAATCCTGGTCCCGGTCCCGGACAGTTTTTTTTTCTCTTCTCCTCCTCCTGACTGACCAACAGTCCCATAAATTATAATTTGTAGAGCTGCTTTGAAGTTTTTTTGTTTTTTAACAATATATTAGTGATTAAAAATGCAGGAGATGTGGGGGGGGTGGTGCTAGATCTAGATTTAGATCTAATTCTCCAGCGTCTTTACGGCAATTTTCGTGCGGTATAGTCTTTGTGTTTACCGTGTTTCAATTTCAAGCATCAGCATTCTTAATCTTACTGTTCTGAGCATCAATGATTTAGATATATCTAGATCTAGAACGGGGGCTCTTGTGGCCTAGAGGTTAAGGTGTTGGCCTCTCATTCAAAAGGTCCCGGGTTCGAATCCGGGTAGCGACCGAAAAATTTTCTTTTCTAAATTTGTCTCCTTTCACCTCATTTCCTGCTCTCAAGCAATGTTCTGTCGTCTGCTTTCGTCTCCTCTTTCTGCCCCCACCCCCTCACCTCCTTTGCCCCTTCCTCTGGGCTACAGATTCTTTCTGCAGCCTTTTTACTGCTTCTCCTTCG